AGCACACTTTGGCCGCAAAAGACAGGAAACCGAACCGTGCCTAAGAAGGTAATGGTCAATAGCTAAACGAGGAAGAGAAAGACAAGGTGGTACGGGATACCAAAAGTCTAGAGTCATAGATATTGCATGACATGCATACCCAGCGATTAGGTATATGAATAATAATTTTATAAGACCAAGCTAAACTGTTTGTGATTAATTGCAAATCTATATTATTTATAAACTTATTTTTAAACAAAATTTTTTTAAGAAAACAATATTAAATTATTTAAAAAAAAACTTTGACAACAACGATATAATCCAATCGTACAATGCGATAAATAGGGATCGGTTCTTCGTTTACAAATCTTAACTTTTATAATATCATTAATGCCAGATGTTATCCCAAGTATGCACTCCAAACACGAAATCAAATCATTGAACAATGATCTTCTGTGGTTAAATTCGATAAAGTTTCTCTTGTCTTGGGTCTAATATCCCCAACGTAAAATGAGCAACCAAAGTCTCAGCCAGAGTTGAAATATTTGAACGATTGCGTAGCACAAGACCCTCTATTGAAGCAAAGAAGACCCAGATCGAGGTCTGACCGTTTTGTAGAAGGCGCCGCATTTGGTTGCTTGGGGGATTGCACCACCCCTTTTGTGGTGGGGATTGGGATAGCAGTTGGATGACGCCGGCGGACGCACGTGAATATCCAACGTTCGTCGTCGGCACTCCGGATTCTGGTTCGGCAGGGCAGTCGAGGTCTTGAGTCGGGTTTCGTAATGTGAAACATGAAACGAGCAATGAACGTGCAACTTGTGGACAACTTTTCTTTTCTGTTTCGCCCTGCCAACCGGAAGTTTTACAAAGGCAAATGGGCAAAAAAGAGACGAAAAACAGTATGAAAAAGTTGACAAAGCCGGTGAGGAAGGGGGCGGTAATTTCGAGTTATAATAAAAAGCAGAGAAAAAAGTAGACAGTGTCCCAACTGTGAATAAATTTCAAATCACGTACAATGAACGCAGCAGCGAGCATTGTTGTTGTTGCTTGTGTTGGTGACACCAAAGCGAGCTAGGCTAAAACAAAAAGCTGCAAGTTGGCCAACAAGCAACAAAAACCAGAACAGAATGTTGCTAATTTAACGCACGTTAGAAAAGAGCGAGGGTGGAACAACGACTACGGAAAGGGATGCACGGCAAGGTGGTGCAATCACCCCATCTTTAATAATGTCTTTTTCACGCCGCCCTGCATAAATTGTTTGGATTATATGGCGCAGTGAAAAGGATTCACTTCCTCATCGTCACGAGGGGAAGCAGCCACAATTGCAGTAGCTGCAATCAGATACTAAATCGAGGGCAGGTTTTAATAGACTTTATCTGGCACTTTGGAAAAAAGAAGAATGAAGACGGAAGTGTCGACTTTATGCTGCTAATTCACAATAGATGCTCTGGAATCGTTAAATATATTGTCGGCCTTCGAAAATCATTGATGCAAAGGGAGCCACTATTAATTAACTAAATGATAAAGTTTTTAAACAAAAGTCGTTTGATATTTACCTAAATTTTGTTTTTTTAAAGTCTTCTTCTTGATTTTTTTTCGTCGAAAGTAATGTTTGTGTGGGCGGAGTGGCAGGTTGCGGATGACGTAGTGGATGACTCAAACGGAGAGTGAGAGTGTCAAAAACCGAAATGAAATGCACATAAATAAACACTCAAAGAGCGAAAAGAGAGAGCGATGGCTTTGCTGCAGTGCCTCTTGAGGGGTAAGGGGGAAACGGGGCAGAGAGGAAGAAGGGACGCAGGACGAGCAGTAAATCATGGCGTCCATGCGGACATTACGTCCACCAACACACAAAAAAATATTATTTCTTTGAGATTATTTTATTTAAAATAAGCAAAACCATAAAGTAAAAATTAACCGGTCAATCTATTATAATCTCATTGACTTTAATTTTCACAATTTAATTTTTAGCTTTACTTTTATATGACATAGTAACAGAAATGTAAAATCTTTAGATAAATGTTTGGTTGTTTTAAAGTTAAGTCTGACCATTGATTTGTTTCTGTGTAGGCTCTGCATGCAGTCCCTTTCATTACAGAAGCAGGACATGCACTCTCTTGCACACCAATACCTACAGCCAACTCCTGGCCATGTGTGTGCAATCAGGAGCGAAACGAGGACATTGCAGGCCAACAACAAAATCAATGAAATTTTCACTACTTCCTTTAGGAAAAGGTAAAATATCCAAACGAAAGAAGGGTGGCCTGGTTAGTTCGTCTGGCCGATGTTTGCTTTCGGCTTCGTCCTGCAGGCGAGACCAAAGTTATTAGCCTGCAACACCTTTTGGATTTGCCGCATTCACCAAAGAGCATAAAAATACAAGCAAAAAATCAAAGCATTTAAGCAAACAGACGTCCAAACTAATGGTTTTTCTTTCGAGTTCGTCTGAAAAGGAAAAGTTTTGCCTTTGGATAGGGGAAAATATTTGTTTTGAGGCATGAAAGACTGCAACATTTCCTCCTTTTACTTGGCTGTTATATCAGAATGCTTATGATGTGCTCATCATTCGACAGTTATTTTAATATAATTAACCTTGGTCACGCCACTTGGCGAAGTGGGTTACGAAAAAATTTGCAAGCCAAACACAAACAAGAAAATTGCGCAAACAAGTGACCCAGAATAATAATTAAACAACTAGCCGCACAACAAGTTACTCATCTAATCAATGAAGTAACCCCCGCGAGTGTGGTCAATGCACTCCATTAAGATAACAGGATAGTAAGATCAGAAACAGAAGACCTTACAAAACTTAATGATTAACTTATAACTCTTATAATACTTAAATTCGAGTCATATCAAAATAATTAAATACATACGAATTTTAATAGATCATTTTAATAGTAAAATTTTGTTGATTAATATCTGACCCCTAATTTTCATTTTTGTGAGTTTGAACGTATAAGCCCATATCAACCAAAAATAGCTAAAACAGATTAAAAATTGAGATTTCTGGCTTATAGACAAGACTTTTTGGCATTACCACCCTCATCCCAAATTTTATGTCAATTTAATAAATATTTTTGAAGCAAGATCGTTTTAAACGTGAGCTTATTCTTATTTCATATCGTTTTAAAATTTGCTGTCTAATTGGATTTGTCTTATAGATATGTCCAGTTAAAAAGTTAAAACTTAGTGAAGTTTGCTAGAAATGTTCAATGTTCAAATTAAGAAATATGTACTTACTTCTGGTGGATCCCAAACACATTCGCCTGTGGTGAGATTGGCGTACATGTGCTCCTTGGTGCGTGGCTCGATGATTTCTACCCATTCTATTCTGCTGGTCCGGAGCAAAGATGAAGATGGAGATCCATCCGGAGAGGGCGAGAAATACACATAAATAAGACATAAAATGCGATTGCTTCTATTTTCGAGCGCCCGACAAAAGCATCTCAGGAATGCCGGCCGAGTATTTCGTGTACGTCAAAAGTACCAGATACGAAACTTGGTGGAAACACGCCCTCAATTGGGCTTTTCTCTACGCAGACAAACATATTTAGTCAAACATTATCCGGTTTTTCCTTATTTGAAAATTGCAGTCCTTACACACACACATAGATGAGAATGGGAGTTGGGAGAGAGTGAGTTCGAGAGGGTGTTAGTAACTCTCTGGCCCTCTCTTTTTGGCACATTTGGCGGCCGAAGCTTGTTGCCGCGCCTTGCCAGAAAATCGATTTTGCAGGCGCCTGAGGCCAAACAAAAAAAAAAAACAAAAAATGCATAAATCAGGAATTAAATCAAGGTAATAGAAAATGCAACAAAGAGGAAAGGTGATTAGCCACCCACTCAAGAACGCACTCTCACGCACACATGCGGCTCCTTTTCCTCTCCTCTCCCTCTCTCTCTCACGCCCACTCCCTTCCTTGCCACCCACCCGTTCCCGTTGCATGGAAATTTTCTGCATTCAAGACAATTTATTTAACAAAAGCATCTGCAGTTTGTTGCTGCTTTTGCTTTCTTAATAAATTGAATACACAATTTCGACATTCGCGTTGTCTGGAGATGCTGTTGTTGTTGCTGCCGCTGATGGCAGTTGATTATAGTTTAACGGCACACACCTTTCACAACTTGAACTCATTTTTTTCTCTGCTCTTTATAAGGGGGCTGCTGGTTATTGTTGTTGTCGTTGCTGGCGGTTTTCTCTCGCTTTTGTTGTTGTTGCTGTCTCCTTTTGCTATTTCTGCTGCTGCTGCTTCTTCCTCCTTTCCTTACACACACGCACACACCCCGAACGCACTTTATATATATATAATTATAAATATATATATTTTCTTTCACTTATTTTCGTTTCGGTCGCGCCAGCGAAAATGCAATTTTCTTCTCAATTGATTTTTTTGCTTCACACCCGCACTCCTTTTTCACATGCGTGCAGTTTTTTTGTTGCTACCACTGCTGTTGTTTTTGTTGGGGCTGCCGCTGCAGTGCAACTTGAAACACTTTCACATTTATGACATAATTTACTGGCCATATTTTTTTGTATTATGTTTATATTTTAAATATTTATGTTGCAGCGTGCAAATTCGAACGCGGATGATCCGCTCTTTGCTGCATCTATGCTGGGGATGGGTGAAAGTCGATGGTACCATCGATAATGTGATAGTGCGTTCACGCTGATGACTATCGGTGGCTTGCGATAGTATTGAGTTAATATATAAAATCATAAATAATAAGCCAATGTCGAAGTTTGTGTTGATTTTATTAAATATGGCACACCTCTTGTTTCGTACTTTTTTCTGAGAGTCCAGCAATCCACAGTTGCATTGCTTGCAGTTCCTAGGGAAGTATCGATATGGAGCCCTCTGTCATCGCTGTCAGCATGTACCACCCCTAACAGAAAAACCAAAACAAACTCTACCGGAATGGTGTGACCAGCCATTGTATTAGAAAAAGTATAAGCGCTTTAAAAATAGCGGCAAACATTTGAAAAATAAAAGAAAAGATAACCCATTAGTGGGCCTATCTTATACTGCTTTTACGTTTATTTTATTATTTGTCTGCCGAGGCGCAATAAAATCTCATTTCGTGTGCAACACTTAAAAAGTTATAAAAAATATTTTCTATTTCAGGAAAAACACTTTTAGCTTACTTCACAAAGCGGTTAAGGACTTGAAATCGGCTAAGCCCCGGGATTAGTAACAGTCCGATATCATATTCTCATCATCGCGCTTTAACGCTCCGAGGATATCATCCAGCAGGGAGGTGAAGTTTTCCTTGCACTCGAACCACTCCTGGTGCTGCTTGACCAATTGGTCAAGGTCAATGGTCTTCAGCTCCTCGAAGAACTGTCGCAACGGCATCGCGAACTGCTTGTAGTAGAACTCATCGATGTGCCGTTTCTCCACCTTTTCCGCCTCCTCATTTATCTGCATTTGGGTTTCAAACGCCTTTTCCAGAAGCTGGGCATCCTGCGAGTTTAGTATGGACTCAATGATCTCGTCTGCTTCGCTGGGGTTAACCGGTGCTTGCTGGGGAATTGGCGATGCCTGCGGTTCGGCCGGAAAACTGAATGTTGAGCTATCGCTGTGAGAGAGCGGCGATCTCATTTCAATCTCATCCATTATGCCTTTGTGGCGCTCAAACTTTTCTCTCATTATCCTGACGCCGGTAATGAGGAGCTCCAGTACCTCCATCGAAGTCTCTTCCCGCAGGCTCTTGAGTAGAATGCCAAAATATCCGTACTGTTGAACCTCCCCAAATACTTTGGCAATGCTAGTCTGGATTTCCTTCTCCGTCAGCGTGACAATCTTTTTCTGTTCCTTGGAAAAGGTTACCGTAGGAAAGGAGCCATCAATCATGCCCTGGTTGCTGAACTGACGGTAAAACTCCCGGCGCCAAAAATTTAGTGCATTCATCTTTACCTCTGCGTGATGATCCCCGACCACACAATAGTTTAGGGTTGAGAAGAGCGTGTTCTTATACTTGTTATGGATCTTGCGGTGCTCGTAGATCTTCATCAGCGTAACTACGGCTTCGGCGCGCACAATATCATCGGTCTCCCGATACATCACATACATAAGATGGTCCTGTGGAGATGAAGTTTATATTTAAGACCTGTAGCAAGACTTAGACATCGAAATCGGCCTACTCACCACAAGATCGAGTTGGCTAAGACAGTTTTCCCACAAGAGATTTATGGAAACCATTTGCGAAAGGCATTTAAAGGCGGAGGCTCGCACATAGACTTCCGAATCATTCTTGGCCATTTCGTAGACTATAGGGGGTATTTTTGCGTCAATCAGAAAACGTTGAAAGGCGGGAAACTCTGAAGAAAAGCAAGGGATCATTAAAGATCGACAGTACTTAAATAGTAATAATATGCTTACTGATGCGGGAGATACTGGCTATGGAGGTGGTGAGTTCGAGCGTTGTGTCCCGCACCTCCCACATTGTGTCGTGCATCCGCTTAACGATGATGGGACCCAGGCAAACCAAAGCAGAACCCTGCAGGTTGTCAACCAGCAGAGCCATGTTGGGAGAAAGGAAGTGTTCCACAGCCAACTGGACGAGCTTCAGTGCTTGGACAGTACACTGAAAAAATGAAAAATTAACATTGGAAATCCAATTTGTTATTAGCTTTCTAGAACACAATTATTTTTTGGAGTAAAAATTAATTTGTATATAAGTATTAACAGACAATTCTGTGTAAAAGTAAAAAAATAATAAAATTTTCTTTTAAAAATGTCTGAAAACACGAAAGAGGCATATTGAATTTATTATCCATTTAATGAAGGCAGTTGATGATACTTACCCTGGAGTCCATGTTCGTGTTCTCCAGGACAAAGGCCAGACAATTCACCAGGCCAATTGTCTCCACCGACTCCTTCCAAGTGATCTTGAAGCGTTCGATTAGGGTGCGCAAACCCACCATGACGGAGTGCAGCACCTGGGGATCGTTGACGACCTTCTCGGTGCCCCGCGGATACAATTCCAGGTACGAGCTACCCGCGCTGCTCACGCTGTGGCAGTCATCCTGCGTGTTGTTCGTGATGACACTCATGGCCACAGCTTCGCGGAGGACGTAGAGCAGAGCTTGGCACACAGTAACTGCTTGCTCCCGATCGAGAACATTCTCCAGAGCCAGCAGGCTATGTATGCATTTATTCGCCAGCCCGGCGGTCACCAACTCCGCCGTCATTCCGTCGGCGGTAAAAAAGGTATCCCGCATGGTGTAGCAGAGTCGAAGGGTCTGCTCGCAGGAGATCTCCAACAATTTGACGACATAGGCGTCGAAAAGCTCGACCTTGTTCTCCTCGTCGGCGATCTTCTGAGCATACTTCATGGAGAAAAGCAGAGGCAACATGTGAAAGCATATTAACTGGTTTTCGAACGACACGCGCTCCTGCTGGATTACGATCTCCTTGGGCGCCCGAGCTCCCAGTTTCTTCCATAGCACGTGATTCAGCTCAGCCAACTTCACAAAGCTCATACCGTCTTTGCGGGTGATGAAGAATTTCATGAGATTGAAGAACGACAGCCCAAACTCGGTGAACTCCTCCGGCGGCTCGGTAGCGTCAGGATTTAGCAGCTTTTCGTGCATCAGCAGGGCGAAGTTGTAGCTGCTCAGCGTGGTGAAGATCTTCTCAATAAAGTACGGGTTGTGAGTCATATCGATCAGCTTCCAAATGGTTATCTCGAAGTCATGATACTCCTTGAGCAGGGCTATCAGACTGGTACGCTCCTCAAGCACCAGTGTCTGCTGCAGAATGTAGGAGAGCAGGTCCAACGTGGCCGAGATCTTGTGCAGCAATTCGTTGTCGTCCACCTTGATGTGGATGCGCTCCTCGCCGGCGGTGTTCTTGTATAGATTGTCGTGAAGCGGCTGCATGATCTCGATGAGGATCTCCAGCGTAACAGCCTTGTCGTGCAGCTTGTCGCAGAACTTGTACAGCATATTGTAAAGAACCTGTCGAGCCTCTCGCACCACATACAGAGTGTGATCGTTGTTCGAATACTGGATGAGCAGCGTCCAGATTCGATGCATACGCAGAAATGCTAGACCCATGCTGTAATCGGTGACGGACTTCATCAGACGAATCCCGCCCAGCTTAATCGAAGGACTTAAGTTGTGATCACCCTGCAGCAGTTTAACAGCTCTGAAATGATAAGCGGATAAGCCCGGCGTTTCTTTTGCTTAGGCCACTTACCTATTAACTATATCGAGCTCCCTTAGGCGCACAATCATCCATTCGTTGTGCGCCAGATAGCTGGTCAGATTCAACATAAAAGACACCACCTTCGGGTGGATTCTGTTGAAGTCCTCCGTCAACGCTGTGATGCACCTGTCCACCCAGTCCACCACAAATGGGGCCTGCAGCACAAACACATTCTCTGCGAAGAGATACAAGTCGATCGGTGATTGGAAGATAGCACGCCCACTCCGATTTGTCTACTTACCCTTGGCCTGCAAGTGCGTGAGGAGCTTCTCAAAGTAAACATTGTTGGTCGTGGAAAAATTCTCGCGCAAAAATATGTCGAGTATCGGGCGTAGGCGCGACAGCACCTCCTCTTGCTTTTGCATCTTGCTGGTAGACTGACTTTCTGATGATTCCTTCTATGGCATAGTTTTGAAGCTTGCAATTGTACCTCTGAATAATGAAATCGTTTGATTGCAGCTTCTTATCATGCCGAAAAGACTTGTTTTGTATTCAGAGTGACCGTGCGCAATAGATAGAGTTGCCAGGTGTGCAAATTGTAGCCGCGGATAAAGTCACGGTATGTGATACACATCTGTATTTTTGCATGAATTTTTTGAGAGGATTTGAGCGCAAAAGCCCAAAAGCATTGCACCTTTGAAATAGTTTTGGAATCATTAATTATTATTATCATATTATTTTTCGCTAATATATGAATTTGAAAAACGGCGCGGAATGAGTTGTTAAAAACTTATCAGTGTTGAGAAGTGGAGGAATTTGTAAATGAAAATCATACAAATGGTAAATGTTACACGGTCACTCTGCGTCTTAGACAGTTACCAACACTATCAACACTAGGGGAATAAGAATTTGTTATTCATTCATCAAATTCGCTAGAAAAGTAGGCGAACAGAGGGAACAAGATGTCCAAGGTGACCGTGCAAGACATAGAGGCGGTGGATGACTACTGGGGGCCCACATTCCGTTCGATACTAGAAGGTAACTGTCGCTTTTCAACTTTGTTTACGCCCATTTCATTTGATTTTCTCCCGACAGGAAACAACACCAAGCAGATTGGAGAGCAGCTGGAGCAGCGGATTCGGAGTCATGACAAGGAGATCGAACGGATATGTAACCTGTACTACCAGGGCTTCATCGATTCCATACAGGAGCTGCTGCAAGTGCGCACCCAAGCGAAGCAACTACACGACGAGGTGCACTCGTTGGACACCTCGCTCCGCCAGATTAGTGCCTCCCTGATCCAGCAGGGCAATGACTTGGTGCGGGCCCGCCAAATTGAATCCAATCTGGCCAGCGCCATTGAGGCACTGAAGTCTTGTCTGCCTGCGCTGGAGTGCTACATAAAGTTCACGCAGCAGGCCAAAAATAAGCAGTACTACCAGGCTCTAAGGACTCTAGAAACCCTTGAGACGGAGCATTTGTTGCGGTTAAAGACGCACAACTACCGCTTTGCCACCCAGATGCAGATACAGATACCCATCATTAAGGAGAACATACGTCGCTCCTCAGCCTCGGATTTCCGGGAGTTTCTGGAGAACATCAGGAAGTTCTCGCCGCGCATTGGCGAACTGGCCATCACGCACACCAAGCAGCTCCAAAAGCGGGACATCAACGCCATTATTGCCGAGCACATGCAACAGGTGAACGGAGGGGATGATGATGGCGCCAATGTCAGTGCCCAGGACCTAATAGACTTCTCGCCGATCTACCGCTGCCTACACATCTACATGGTGCTGGGGCAGCGCGAATACTTTGAGAAGGACTACCGCCAGCAGCGTCGAGATCAGGCCAAACTTGTGCTCCAGCCGCCGCCCAACATGCACGACAATTTGGAGGCCTACAAGACCTACATTTGCGCCATCGTTGGCTTCTTTGTGGTTGAGGATCACGTGAAGAACACGGCTGGCGATGTGGTGACCAGCAGCTATCTGGAGGATCTGTGGTCGACCTCGCTGACCAAGTTTGTCAACGAGATCAGCATGAGCTCTTCGTCTTGCACCGATCCCAATATACTGCTGCGCATCAAGAACCTGATTATGCTGTCCATCAACACCTTCAAGTGCTACGGTTACACAGTGAGCATCCTCTGGGAATTGCTGCACAACATGCGGGATCATTATAATGAGGTAAAAACACTGTGCTTTGTTCGAAATACTTGATAACACCATAATTTATTTATGCCAGGTTTTATTGCAACGCTGGGTGCATGTTTTTCGTGAAATCCTCGACAAGGAGCAGTTCCTGCCCATGGTTGTGCAGAATGTGGAGGAATACGAGGGCATCATAGAGCGGTTCCCCTTCCACTCGGAACAGCTGGAGAATGCTCCGTTTCCCAAGAAGTTCCCCTTTTCGCGCATGGTGCCCGAGGTCTATCACCAGGCCAAAGAATTTATGTACGCCTGCATGAAGTTTGCCGAGGAGTTGACCCTTTCTCCTAACGAGGTGGCTGCCATGGTACGCAAGGCGGCCAACCTGCTGCTGACTAGGAGTTTCAGCGGCTGCCTTTCGGTAGTGTTTCGCCAGCCAAGCATTACGCTGACGCAGCTCATTCAAATCATTATCGACACGCAGTACTTGGAGAAGGCGGGTCCGTTTTTGGACGAGTTCGTCTGTCACATGACCAACACGGAGAGGAGTGTGTCACAGACACCATCGGCCATGTTCCATGTGGCCCGGCAGGATGCCGAGAAGCAGGTGGGCTTGCGCATCTGCTCCAAAATCGACGAGTTCTTCGAGCTGAGCGCCTATGATTGGCTACTGGTGGAACCGCCGGGCATTGCCTCCGCCTTCATTACGGACATGATCTCGTACCTAAAGAGCACCTTCGACAACTTCGCCTTCAAGCTGCCTCACATCGCCCAGGCGGCCTGCCGCCGCACCTTCGAGCACATTGCGGAAAAGATCTACTCAATTATGTACGACGAGGATGTGAAACAGATTTCCACCGGAGCGCTAACACAAATCAACCTCGATTTGATGCAGTGCGAGTTCTTTGCGGCTTCGGAGCCAGTTCCTGGCCTAAAGGAAGGGGAGCTGAGCAAGTACTTTCTGCGTAACCGACAACTGCTGGACCTGCTAATCCTCGAGGAGTGGAGCACGTATTTCCACGACTATGGAAAGCAGGAGAACCGCTACCACCTAGTGCAACCGCAGTCCATCATTGTGATACTGGAGAAGATCCGCGAGGCGGATAAGAAGCCAATTTTCTCGCTGGTGCGAAAAAACGACAAGAAGAAGTTACTGGAGACGGTGCTAAAACAGCTGAAGCACATCGCCGATAGACAGAGTTAGGATAAGAAGGCGGTTAGTTAGTCAGAGCTTTAAGCAAAGAACTTTATTATTCCTACAGCTAAAAATGTGCTGCATGAGTTCAATTTACATCCACTGATCGATTTTCTTTGCTAACTCAAGTTATATTTGTATAATCCTCCACTTTATAGCTTTTCAACTTTATTATTTAGGCTAATTTGAGTTTTCACATGGAAAAAGTATTTAGTTCGCATTCACTTTTGATCCGATTTGTTTTTATAAAAGACAAATTTCAATTGAAACTGCTCGACCCGTTGAACGTGTAAAATTGTATTTTGAATTTTGATTCGTATGTACAAAAAGCGCAGAGCTTTAGCGGTTGCCTACGTACGGATTGTTGATAAATACAAAACGAAAACGACAAAAAAATGAAAACAAATGGAGAGGAACGGCTAAATAACAAATTGTATATAATTATTAAATGTATGTAGCGTACGTGTATCGTGTAGGTATATTCCGCAAATCGTATTAAACTAACATCTAAGTTACGTATATGCGTTGTTTGTGTTGCTTTTGTCAACTCTTCGTCTCCAGATGCTTGGGCGCATCTGCGTACGTAAACTTAAGGCGGAATGCCTCGGCTAACAGAACGTTGATTTGGCGATCGGACCAGTTGTGCGTTGGCAGATTTTGTAGCAGCAACATGAGACCCTGTTGGCGGGAATTATCATTGATCAGTAGACGCTTGATTGAGCCTTATCAGCGAATTACCTGGAAATCATTCTGTTGCATTAGCTGCTCCTTCCAGTGCAGAAGAAAAGCCGCGCAAACGTACAAATGGAACAGGGCAAAGCCGTCGGACTCCGCCAGATATGTGTCCCACAGTCGGATGGTGCAATGCAGCGGCAGCTCGCGTGTCAGCAGATTGTTCATCCAGCGAAATGAGAATTGCAAGTAGTCGACGCCATGCGCCTGTAGATGACGGTGTAGGTTCACTAAAAATGGGAATTAAATATTTGTATTATCATTCGGCACTTATAGGTTGAAGGGTAATTGTACATAGTAATTAATCCTATCAGTTGCGGTCATAATGCTGTTAGTATATGTCATATGGCACATATAAATTAACACTAGAACAAATTTTAAACGGGAGGTTTACCTTTAAGCTTTTTCTTGCCTTTAGTCGTTTCCACTTATCTTATCTTAAGTCCATCAACATACATATCTCTATCTATACTTGATTACTCTTAATTAAGCTTATCTTCTGCCAAAAGCAAAACATTCCTACTCACCGTCAATGCGTTGTATCAGATCCTTGAGTTGGTTAACCTTCTCCTGTATGCCCAGCTGGGCAAAGATGTAGTTATCCTGGATGCAGTCGAGAAACTTTGAGAGGCACCAAAAGGAGTCCGCCTCGATGATGTTGCGCGTCTCCTCGGGCAGCGTGGCCATGTCGTACTTCTCCAGATCCGTGTTCGGCGTCAGGGCCTCCTGCAGAAAGACGATGAAGAAGGGCGTGACCAGGTCGTTGATGCCCTGCACGTAGCCGGAGGCAGGATGGCGGATGGCCCAGATGAACAGTATCCGCTCGAACATTTCCTGAACGAGCTGCTGCTGGAAGAGTGGTATCTGCGGATTCATGCGTGGCACGTCAATGTGGATCTGGCGGTAGGTGTCCTGCTGCGTCTCGTCCTGGCTATCAACTCGAAAGTAGTTGTGTCTGAGGTCCTGGTAGCCCTGCCTCTTGCTCTCAAGCACCGCCATCCGCCGCTCGCTCGAAGGAGGAAGATATTTCGAAAGGAGTCGCCAGCTGACAGCGCGCATCTAAACATGGAGTTGTATTAGGCATCGGCTCCGGTTACTCTGGTGATTCTTACCTTCCTCGGTACGCCTGACCAGCTAATCTTCTTGAGAGCCACCAAATCCAGTTGTGGCAAGTCTAACACCACCTGAAACTTCTCAATTTTTGTCTCGTACTCGCTGTCCTGGCAGTTCGAGCTAATCTTCTGCAGCTGGGGTCTGCCCGGGTAGTTTCTCAAGCGCGATCTGAAAATGCAACCTCGATTACTAGCCGAAGGGGTCTTGCCTGCTTGCGGTCTTCGCTTTGCCTCTGCTGACATGGCTCTGCGGGGAGTGGCTATCAGTTAAGGAAGTGAAATGCTTTAAGAGCGGCTACCAAGCAAACACTTGTTAAAACATGGGAAAAGACACTACAAAGCTGGGAACACCTTAGTGAAAAATAATTCAAGTATGGTTATTATTAATTCCTGGTCTTCTAAAAAATGGTTTAGCTTAAGTTAAAATTTGTAATTTTAACGTAACGTTAAAATTCGTTTTGTTTTTTATAAGTATATAACAATAACTATTTAAAATATTTTAAATGTAACTGAGAACTGAGAAAATTTGTGGTACTAGCTTTTACTTTAAAATAGAACCAATTGATTGAAGCAATATAGAAGAAAAGCACTCCTCCGCTTATACCACTGATTAACCCTGGTTGGCACCTGCTCCACCCCTGGCTTGTTTGAACAACTGCGGGCACTGGGTTCAACTTTCTTTTTGACTTCCCAGTTGCGTTGGCGCCGCTCACCTGTTCTCGTTGCTGTCCGGCAGCGATCTGCGGTCTTCCTTGCCGTCGTCCGCCGAGCTCCTGCTGGCCTGGATCGAGTCCGTGCCACATTCGTTGGCTGGCCGGGGTGCGTGGTGGTTCTGGTTGCTCCGCGAGTGCGTCTCGATCACATTGAGCGCCGCCGTCTGGGACACTTGCCGCGAAAAGCGAGTGGCATCTGTGGGAAATCAAACCGGTGATGTAAACATTGGCGTTAAGGAGTCCTGGTGGCAGAAGCATTACCACCGCCGGCACCGGCTGCCACCGCTGCAGCCGCCTCCGTGCTGCTGATGATGCAGAACTCGTCGTCGCCCATGTCCCAGGCATCGCTGACCGACTTTTGATACTCGGTGAAGGTGGACACCATGCCAGTTCCGGGGGCAGCGCCTCGTCCGACCGCTACCCCAACTCCTGCCGACTTTTCGAGCTCGCGCTTGGGACTGGGCCTTCCGGGCACCCGTCGTCCGCTGTTTTTCCAAAAGGTCGAAGAGTTTGCGCCGGGCGTTGGTCCTGCGGCACTTGCTCCGGGTCCTGGTGCTGATCCGGCTGCGATTGCGATTTCTGCTGCTGTGGAGTCTGCTGTTTGGCTCGTTGCTGCTGATTGCTGATCCATTTATAAAGAAATAAAATATAAATAGGTCCGATTCGATGTGATGTATGTCAGCGTCATTATTTTGCATCTACAAACAGTGTGACCGTTGCAGCTAAAGCCGCTGTCGCCGCACGACGATTTTTAGCAGTGATGCCAACACGGAGTGATCTAAGTAGTGACAAACTTGCCTATTCCGTGACTGCTGCAAAAAGGACCCTCTAAATGAACAAAACTTAATATATCGGTTTTCAATGTCTCTTATTTAGTTGACCACTTTCCGCAATGTATAGGGCAAAAGATATAAGTACATTTTCTTTGCAGATAATCACCACAAAAACTATCAACGACATTGTTAAATTACAAAAACAAATGTTTTTTCTTCAATATATGTACACTTGAGGGATTGTTCTACCAAAGACTCTAATAGTCTTATAGAGTTTTTGGTCGGTAACATATGTGGTCGGGAACATTTTATTTTTCATTTTTACTTCTATTTAAAAAAAATCCCAAAAACTTTTGAAAACAAACATCTAGAATGGTGCAACAAATAAAGTTTTTGTATCTTCCAAACTTAAGCCATTGGGGGACAAATTTGTAATAGGAATCGAGCTTGCGAATATAAGCTGTAAATTTGTAAAAATTGTTTAAGCCGAAATATCTTGTGGTATAACCTATTTGTTCCATATATTTGCGCCAATTGTTTGAAAGAAATTTTCAATTTTATTTTTATTTATTTTTTGGACTTTACATTTTCCAAAAAGCTTTTTTGATTGCACAAATGTAAATCTTCATATTCTATTGCACGTTCAAGCAACAGGTTTAAATGCTTGTCTGAACGTAGTAGACCGCCTGCCATCAGCTGTTGCTTTTTCAACTTTCACTTTGTGTGGCGGTTTTTGGAGCACTTCTTGAGGGGCCAAAAGTTGTCGGTGGAGTTGTGGTTCCGTCGATACAGTTATGCTGCAGTAATACCCGTACACGCACGCAATCACGGCATAAGCAAACACCCAAACTCGGAATCAGCAGACATGGCCACCCTACGGAGTCGCCACAATGGTACAAGTGCCGTGGAGACGGATGGTCAACCCAGCAATCCCAACAATAACAATAAGCTGGAAAAGGAAGGATCTAAGAACGGAAAACCGGAGAAGAGTGACCCAATGATATACATCATCTTCGTGTCACTACTCTTCGATTTGCTGGCCTTCACCATTATTCTGCCGCTGCTGCCCTCGCTGCTGGAGTATTACCGCCAGAACGATAGTTCCGGGCTTTATGCTGTGCTCACGGATCGGGTGCGATGGTTCCAGCAGCTCCTCGGTGCTCCGGAGCGTTATATATCGGTGCTCTTTGGAGGCTTCCTCGGCTCAATGTTCAGCTTCCTGCAGTTCGTGGCCAGTCCAATCGTCGGAGGACTCTCGGATTACTATGGCCGGAAACCTGTCCTGATGGTTTGTGCGGTAAGAAATCAATGTTTTTGAGTGGTTTAATCAGTGACTTACTGCCTTCCAATTTAAGTCACTACATTTATTCGTATTTTATGCTGAATTTGTATCTACATATCTGAAACAGCAGTCACCTTTCTTCTTCAGAATTTTGTGTTTATCTTAAACAGCAGCCCAATTCAAGAAATTTTTAGATAAGCCATAAGTAAAAGAGTATTTCCGGCAAAAGATAAAATATTTCAAGCTCCTTTGTTATCATACCCAAAATCAATATTCCGCCTACTTTATGTTTTTTTTATTTAATTAAATTTTTAACAAGTCATTCTACGACGACGATTAGTTTGAAGGGAAATTTAAATAAGAATTTTGTAAAAAATATTTTTGTGAACTATATACATTGGAAATCTTTTCCCCTTCCCAGTCTGGCATAGCGCTATCCTATCTGATCTGGGCCTGCTCCAGCAACTTTGCCCTGTTCGTTTTGGCTCGCTTTGTGGGAGGCATTAGCAAGGGAAACATATCGCTGTGCATGTCCGTCATCACGGATGTGTCCAGTGTCAAGACCCGGGGGCGGGGCATGGCCCTGGTGGGCGTGGCTTTCTCGCTGGGATTTATTGTTGGTCCCATGATTGGAGCTCTCTTCGCCATTTTCTCGGATAAAAGTGGAGGCGCCTGGTTTGTGTTGCCGTCGCTGCTGGCTTTTGGTCTGGCTATCGGAGATCTATTGGTGTTGGGCTGCTGCCTGCGCGAGACTTTGCCCAAGGTTTGACTAAAGTAATTATCCACAGACCATAATTCATTGTTTGACCTTTTCGCAGGAGAAACGTGTTAAGGAGATCTCATCCGCGCTTTCATATGGCCTGCAGTTGCTCAACTTCTCGGCCATATTTAGGTAATTCATTGTTTTAATTAGCAGTTCGTCGTGCAACTGTAGTGAGTTCGAACCGGAATTACCGGACTGGTTTGATAGACATTATCGTGCCGGTACTCACGTTTATTTGATAAACCTATCAGTTGACAAACGCCGGTAATGCTTCTGATTAAAAGAAGTTCCGAGGAATAGTGTCCAGCTATCTATGATTATGCGTGGATTGCCAAATCATATTTCAATGTAATACTTGTATTGCCAGATTTGCTGCTATCAAAAATGTGCCCAAGAAAGATATCGAGGCCTTGCGATCCGTGGGCCTGATATACTTCCTATACCTCTTTCTGTATTCCGGCCTGGAGTTCACCGTCACCTTTTTGATGTACCATAAATTTGGCTACACTTCGATGGATCAGGCCAGGATGTTTTTGACGACGGGTATGGAAATATTGTGATGTTTTCAAAACTATATTTAATTGAAAATTATTTTGCAGGTGTCATTATGACTTTGCTGCAGGGTTCAGTTGTTCGTCGTCTACCCGAGGCCAAGATCAAGAGTTATGCCATCTTTAGTCTGTACCTGATTGTGCCCGCCTTCGTATTAGTTGGACTGGCCGAGGGCAGTCGGATGCTCTACGCCGGCATGACCCTATTTGCAATCTCCACCGCCTTTGCGGTCACCTGCCTGACCACACTCGTGTCCAAGTATGGCAACGATGACCAGAAAGGTTCCGTCTTAGGCATATTCCGCTCCCTGGGAGCCCTGGCTCGTGCTTTGGGTCCCGTTGTGGGCTGCATTGGTAATGGGAGATGTTTTTTCGATTTTACACCCTCTAAACTCTCTAATCCCTATAGCTTTCTGGTGCGTGGGCTCGAGGATAACCTATATTTCTGGCGGTCTCCTGCTCATTTATCCAGCCTTGGCCTTGCAGCGCGCCCGCATTTAAGTGCAATAAGAACAAAGTACATTAACCACTTAAGAGATCAACGCAAGTATTAGCTGCACATTATACTTAATTTATTGTTTTATACAAGTATTTTATATTAAAACAAACATACCATTTTATATTTTGTACTCAAAATAAAAGGGGGTTTTATTTACTGGGATAATTTTTTTAATTAACTTTGGTCAAAGTAACCAGCCCAATGCTGCTACTTCGGGTCGGCTACTTCTAAATGTTTGAACTGTTATAATAGTTGTATATTTGCTTTTCCCGCTAAACTTAGCTTTTACGCGTCCAGTTGGCAGCCCTAAAGCATGGCGGGAATTACGTTACGTGACGTTTAATTATTCCTGGTTATCGATAGCTAGTGAATACACCCTCCACAGTTAGCGAATACTTACTCCGGACTAGCGCAGACATATACCCTCCGCCGGTAGCGAAGACTTCCTCCGCAGTTAGAGATGGATAAACATCGATGATACCTGCCAAACGTCGATGTTATCGATGACACCTCAACCTACAAGCCGCAGCCAACTTCACTTCGATTAATATTGGGAGTGACTAAGTTTTGTGTAAGAAAAAATTACAAATAAATGCGCTGATGCAGCTTCAATTGCCAAACTAATACCGCACCAGTTGCCGGACAGTTTCTGGCCAAAGATTTTCACGCTGCCGAGCTGAAAACCCAATCGATTTGACCACCAAAATACTGATATACATTTTTCTTTTTCTTTACAACTACAACTGCAAATAAAAGTGTAAAGTGTGTGAGAGCCTACGACAAAACGCATTAAAGAAATCGGCGGCGCGCAGATTATTGGATTTCGTTTAGCACCCGCATATAGAAAAGGACGGAGCTGGATTAGCCAAGGATACCAATCCAGAGAGCGATAGCAAAACAAATTCAGGAAAATGGGTGCAAGAGAAGACGAGTACGATTATCTGTTCAAAGGTAATTATAAACATGACACTAGCCGGTGGTCGAAGTCGAAGATCGTGGAAGGGGCGAAGAAGGAGGAGCAGCATTTCCAGGCTCGCTCCTCTCTCAATTGCACTAATTGAAACTAATTGGAGAATAACAAAAAGTGCACTACAAGAGCCCAAAGTTCATGTCCCCGTGTGTGTGTTTCTGTGTGTTTGTGTGATTAATTCCCAAAATAAGTCCAAGAAGTACGCCCCCCGAGTTGGTTGTTGTTGTTTTTGCTGCTGCAGTTGGATGCCCTTTATGTGCTCTCCCGCTCTCTCTCTTTGGAGCTCTCTCTCTTCCGGATTGAAGTACGCGTACTTTGCCGTTAACTGTCTGTTTTGTCATTACGATACCGTTGCTCTCGCCACGTTGCAAACGAAAGCAAAGGCAAATCATATTTCTAATCGCTTTTTAAAAGTAGTTTTTTCATTGCTTAGCCACCCACTCATATTCCGTAATTGATTAGATTTCTTATGATTTCTGCACAGCTGGCTTTTGCATTGAATTTTTGCAACTTCTTTTAGTGAGAGAGCAACGCTCCCGCTCCCAATTAAAAGTTTGTGGCACAGTGGAACAAAATCATCATGGGGGGTAACCATTTGTCCCATTTTACAAAGAATCTTTTCTGTTCAATTCGCAGTTCTCCTTTGTTTGCTACTACGCCATATATATATTCGTATTGCGCTTGAAAAACTACAATCACAGCTGAGCAACTGTTGAATGCCATTAATAATAATTTAGAACTGGCATATTTTGTCAAATATTTAAACCCTTATCCGTTCCGTTTTTGGGTCAAGTATCCAAAAAAAGTACAAAAACAGACGATACGATATGCATGATTAGGCCTCACATTTCACACAAACGATATTAAAAATGTATGACTCACGGAACCTGCCAACAATTGTTGAAGAATTCCACTCGACGATAAGCACATAATCACATAACCAAAGTGGGCTGTATATTCGGGTTGTTCGAGCCATTCCCCTAGTAAGTAATAACCGTCGATTACTCCCCTTTTAATTTCTCGTCACATCCGCTTAACTAAGCCATTTCTTTTGAAGATCGTTAGAAACGAAGAGATAGAGAGTAGCAAACGGAGTGACTCAGCGCTCTCGCTGATAAGTGTAACCAGGCTGTTCTCAGCTGTCCACACAGAGAGAAAATTTATGCGATATTATGAATAATTTGATTGGTTACATCATTAATTTGTTTAATTCTGAAACTAAAATTTAAAAATTACAACTTTAAAAATTGTAACTAAGAACGGTTTACTAAGGCAAACGCTTTACGTGATCATCTTAATATTTATTTACCTATTGTTATTGTTGTTTTGATTAATATGAAAGGTGGATCTTTTATATTCATTGGGGCATTCCGATTTATTTTGAGCTACTTTTTTTTTCTGTGCAGCTACGGAGAGATTGATATTGCAAAAAGGTGTTTGATGAGTTATTGTTATTTTATTTCGAATAAAGTCAATAATATCCGAAAAAAGTGTCAAATTGTGCTTTTTAAATGCAGAAGAATTCACACATGATATAAGCTTGATAGATTCTAGCAAAAAAATAAAAGATAATTTTGTAGACAAAAAATAAAAACAATTTGCTTTCTTTAAAGTAAAAGGCTGGTTTTCCAGTGATACTGAATAAATGAACCAAGTATTTTCTAAGAGCCTAAGCTTAAAGAGCAAGCTCAAACCACCCCCACTCAATTGTTTAATAAATGTTTACTCTATCGACTATAAAGTACAATAACACGAACTCCCGAACGTCAACTCCCACAATCATAAAATATTTGTTTCCATGGCCTATGGGCTGAAATCCCCCGAGCATAGCGGTTTTATGTACTTGCTGACCTTGGGGCGCCGCGCCAGCAGCAAAAGGAGGACATGACCTAGGCGGGCTACAAGTCACACTCCTGGCCTTCCGTAAAACACAAACCGCTGGCTTAAACACACACCCACATATATTATGCAACTTGGGATCTTTCGATTATCCAATGCCAATGTCGCCAGCGTCACTAATGCTCTCTAATCCTTTGCAGTTGTCCTTATCGGTGACTCGGGTGTTGGTAAAAGTAACTTGCTCTCACGTTTCACGCGCAATGAATTTAATTTGGAGTCCAAGTCGACGATTGGCGTTGAGTTTGCAACGCGCAGCATAGAGGTGAGTACAAGGCGGAAAAGTAGAAGGCGGAGTGGGGTTTGGAAACGCCACACAAACCACCACCCACTGAGTGGGTCACGGAGAAATTGCGTGTGCGTTTTGCAGGGAGGGCGCGTATTGATGGCATCTATCAGGAAATGGGGGTAAACTTACGTTCAATTTCAGTAAGTGTCTGAGAATTTCACTAAATAAAGGATTGCCAATTGGTGTTCTTGCATAATTTATTGAGCAATCCTGCGAGGGCAACCTAAATGTTGACATCATACAATTTCCACTTAAACGAAAAATGTCACTAAAATAAAACCAATTTATTGAATTCTTATATTTTTCTATTTTTAAATTTAAATCATACGCTCTTTTAAACATTTTGGCAAGCAATTTGAAGTAAGTTAATATCAAGCTTAGTTGTTTTCCAGTAACCAAAAGAAAGAAAGTATCATGGGTCATTTAACTCGGTTAAAACTAAAATAATTCAACTAAAGTCAGGATTGGGTACCCAAATGTCCCATTTGGTAATATCCCCATGAGCTCTCATTTGGACCTAGCTGCTGACATCACTCTGTCGAGTTTTAATATTGATTTTCAAAGCAAAAGCACCACTAGTCTTACTATGCCAATTACTGTCGCTATTCTAATGCTCTTCCTTTGTTTCTTATTTTGCCTACCCAACACAGGTCGATGGAAAAACAATTAAAGCGCAAATCTGGGATACGGCCGGCCAGGAGCGTTATCGCGCCATCACCTCTGCCTACTATCGCGGTGCCGTGGGAGCCCTGCTCGTTTATGACATTGCCAAGCATTTGACCTACGAGAACGTGGAGCGGTGGCTGCGGGAGCTGCGCGACCACGCGGACCAGAACATCGTCATCATGCTGGTGGGCAACAAGTCGGACTTGAGGCATTTGCGATCCGTGCCCACGGACGAGGCGAAACTGTTTGCCGAGCGCAACGGCTTGAGTTTCATAGAAACCTCGGCCCTAGACTCGACGAACGTTGAAACGGCATTCCAGAACATACTCACAGGTGAGTCCTTCATCTGAAGATTCTTCAGCTTGATGTAGCATTACCTTAATTTTTAACATATCCTTAAGTGGCATATAAGAAACGCTTTATTTTATCGGGAAGTTTTCTTGTTTTCAAATCCATTCATTTATGTTGTAGTTATTGTAAACCAAACAAATGTGTCATCTAACTAAACACTAGTAGTTGAAACGAGAAAGCGCTGCAAGTGAAGACTGACTAATAGATTTTTTTATTCGTTTTTCAGAGATCTATCGCATTGTGTCGCAGAAACAGATCAGAGATCCGCCGGAAGGCGATGTCATTCGTCCGTCGAATGTGGAGCCCATCGATGTAAAGCCGACGGTTACCGCCGATGTGCGCAAGCAGTGCTGTCAGTGACCGCCCCAAGCAACTTTCGCTATCCCCCGCAACCGCCAGAACAGCAACATAAACAGAAGCAACAACAATTACAACTACAACAACAGCAGCAGCAGCAACAACTACAAGATCAGAAGCAGCGAATATCTGATGGACCGCATAAGATGTTTTTGTGTTATTCAAACACAGTTTGTCATATGTGCATAAATTGATAAATCAAATCAACACCACCACCACCAACAGCAGCAACAGAATCGAAAACAACATCCGGCTGTAGTTAACTGCGGTTTAAACTGAAGTTTTATATATACAGATTTAAAGAATATCGCATAAATCGATCGCCGTTGAAAGAAAGAAAGCAAGCAAAACTAAACACTCCAAATTCAGTTTAAGCTGTAGAACTATAATTTATATAAATATACATATATGCTAATATTAAAAATATTAATATTATTAATTTTTCGCAACATTAATATATAGTTGTAATTTTCGAGAAAAACAACAAACAACCGGAAATATTCGATTATGACGCAATTCATATTCGCAACACTGCAGCTCGGCGTAAGCAATTTTGCGGACTTTCTTCTTCAGTTTTCACTACTACATTTTCAACAATTGGCCACTAAATAAAATAAAATTTGTCTTAAACTAGCTGATAAAGAGAAATCAAACAAGAACAGTTGTAAAACTTTAAATGCATAAATGAAACGAAAAAACATCATTTGTGTTTGCTATGTTAAGTGTGATTAAATAAATATAATTTAAATAAAAGAAAGTTGGAAGGGTGTTGGTTTGGAGGGAAACAAATTTAAATGAAAATAGAGTGACCAGAGGGGGCCGGTTTTCGCGCGGTAGGTATTTTCCGCATATGCGACCACACTGTTCTTAACACGTGCGGCAGGAAAGTGGAGAAAGAAACACAAAAACATGGGCGGCAAAAAGAAAGTGCATCCAAAAACGCGCACGGCGGCCTTTAAGGCCAGCGAGCCGAGTGAAATTGTGGAGGCGCCGCACTCCTTTGTCATCCACCGCGGCCTGACCTGTCCGTACATCACGGATCTCACCCTGGACTTCCGTCGCATCATGGAGCCCTTCACGGCCAGCAACCTGCGCGAGAAGCGGATGAACCGCATCAAGGACTTTGTCAGCCTGAGCAGCTTCTTCCACGTCTCGCACATGGGCATCTTTAACAAGGCCTCCACTCAGCTGTCCTTCAAAGTGATTCGTCTGCCGCGCGGTCCCTCCCTGACTTTCAAGGTAGTATGTTTACGCCTTAGTTAAACGCATTTCATAACACAGGTGTTAAATCCTCAAACAGGTCCACCAATTCACGCTGGCCAGAGATGTGATCTCGATGAGCAAGAAGCAGATGATCGACAACGACCACTTCAAGCACGCTCCTTTGGTCATCATGAACAACTTCAGTGGCGATGGCAAGCACCTGAAGCTGATGGCCACAACGTTCCAAAACATGTTCCCCTCTATCAACCTGGCCCAGGTGAACATAGGCACCATCCGTCGCTGTGTCCTCTTCTCGTACAATCCGGAAACGAAGCTGGTCGAGATGCGACACTACTCCGTGCAGGTGGTGCCCGTGGGCTTGAAGCGAGCGGTCCAGAAGATCGTCAAAGGCACAGTACCCAATCTGGGCAAGTGCAACGAAGTGGTGGATTTTGTGACAAAGTAATGAGCTGCCGCGGTATGCCCATTTCATCCACTAATTTATCTGCATCTCTTCCAGAGACGGCTATGCCTCCGAATCAGAGGCCGAGGATGACGAGCAGTCGCATGTGGTCCTGGCGCAAACGCTCAAAAGCAAGGGCAACCTGGAGGACAACAAGAGCTCCATCAAGCTGCACGAGATCGGACCGCGCCTAACCTTGCAGCTCATCAAAATAGAGGAGGGCCTTCTGACCGGCGAAGTTCTTTACCACGACCATGTGGTCAAGACGGAGGACGAGAAAGAAACCACGCGCAAGCTGGTGGAAAAGAAGCGAAAGCAGAAGGAGCAACGTAAGAAGGAACAGGCTGAGAATCGTGCTCGCAATCTGAAACTTAAGAAAGACGAAAAGTGGGCTGCCAAGCGCGCGGCGGAGGGACGCAATGACAGCGATCCCGAGGACGATGCGGAGTACTACAAAGAGGAAGTGGGCGAGGATCCTGATGAAGGTGAGGTGCCACATGGTTCTTGCACTATAACAAAAGTAAAAATATTCCCTTTGTAGAACTCTTCAAAATGGAAGAAAAGTCCTCTCGCAAGAGACCCAACCTGACCGGTGGCATGAAATACAAGAACAAGCGGGCTAAGCTGGATCCCAAAGAAAAGAAGGATAACAAGCTTGAACGCAGTGATAAGTTTGACCGCAAGGATAAGTTTGAGCGCAAGGACAAGTTTGACCGCAAGGACAGGAATAACAAGTTCGACCATAAAAACAGAAAGGACAAGTTTGACCCCAAGAACAGGAGGGCCAAGTTCGACCACAAAAAGAGTAGGAAATCAAAGTAGTACATTAAACATAGGCTATTTTATAAACTGACATGAAGATGTTATCAATGGGAACTAGCTGAACATGCGCTGCACCACCTCCTTGTAATGGGCGTTACTATCCTTCCAGCTGGCCGCTATGTTGTCGCGCAGCTTGCTGAACTCTCGCTTCTCCTCGTAGTTGGGCAACCGCTCGATCGTAGCCTGCGCCTTGGCGAACTCTTTCATGTGGTAGTAGGCCAGCGCCCGCCGGTAGATGCCCTTCTCGCTGGGACCCTCCTCCGTCTCCACGAACTGCGTGTGGTAGATGACGTGCTCATAGCGCTTCTCCTGCAGCAGACAGGCCGCCAAGTTGGTCTGTATCTGGATGAAAAGCGTCTCCACCTCTTGGCCGTTGATGCCATTCGCCTTCTTGGTCAGTTGGTTGAAGGGTTTGTAGGTGATCAGCAGCTTGGCGGCCCGCACAAAGTAATCAAAGGCAAATTTCGGGAACGTTTTGAAGGTGGCCACGCCGCTCTCCTTGAGGCGCAGTGCCACCTCGTAGATCTGAGCAGCGTCCAGCTTCTCCACTTGCGTGTTTTTAACAATCCTCTCCAGCTTTAGCTCAAACTCAATTATTTCGCCGGTTTTGCTTGTGATGCTGCAAGCTGCCGTTTCGCCGGGAACAAGTTGCTGCAGGAGGAGCTCTACATAACAGTCCACTGCGGTCAGACTGGTGCCCATTTCCAAGCTGTGCAGTTGGGGATACTTTGAGGATTCATCGCTGGACAAGTACTTGCTAGGTCGTCCTCCCAAGTTGACGCACTTCTTGTTGACACTGAACTCCACCGTGCTGACTGTCGTAGGTTTTTCCATTTCGGTAAACTGGACGTCCAGTACCTTCTTGGCCAGACCTCGGCTCTTGTCCTCCCACTCTGTGCCCACGTACCAGTCCATTTTGGAGGAATTACAACAAAGAAAACTTAATGAACTTGGAAATGTGTGTTGGACGGTGTTACCAGGTGATCTTAATACTTTTCCTCCAAATATGTGCCTATAGCAAAAAATACCGCGGAAAAATACTTCACTCACATACATTTTTAAAATCATGGCGCGCAATCTCTATATCTTGAGTCTCCATTCAAAAGATTTCAAAAAAAGTCATCAGTTATAAAAATCAAATTACAATTTTTAAAATCGGATATAATAAGAGAATTGCCAATTCAGGAAAGCTTAAGCTTATTCCTTACATGAACATAACTTAGTATCTTAATTTTAAAAATTAAAGATTAGAAAAAAAATATGTATACAACGATTTTATAAAGGCTTAAGCAATCATTGGGGTAACTAATAATTAAAGTAAGGTTATTGCCTTCGTTAATCGTTTAATAATCATAAAATATGTGAAAATTCATTTGAGAAAAATTATAAACCTTAATTTCTACCAAGGGTTTGTTTGGCGTACTGGGAACCCCCCAAAACAAATCAAAAAAGGCAAAGAATTAGCATTTATACACAATTTATTATTATTTCTAGTTATCTGTTACCTATACTAAGCCCTTCGCGCATTAGCAGTTGCTCGGCCATCGTTTAACAAGCTGCACTCTTTCCACTAACAGTTTTACATATTCCGGAGTATGTGTTCATATTTCATAAACTTTTTGTTAAAGTAAAACGTTATGTACATACATTAGTTAACGCGGAAGCGGCGATCGTGATCCAGATCAAGAATAGCATTGGAACTTAACTTACAAATAGCAATACATATAGTAAAATATCCATTGATCACAATCAACGAACTGTATACATATAAATATATTGATGAATCTTCCTGGAAATTTGCTATTTTCTACATAAAACTATATCTAGGATCTATAGTTATCGTTGATCAATCAAAGAATAGGTTATATATTGCAGTACAATGGATTCATTTTGTATTTATCTTCACTCGAAAGTTTTGTAACTACCAATTGCAGACACTGCTTGTGTCGTTCTTAACACAAGTAACTTTTAATTTAAATTATTTGTATTTGGGTAACTTAGATTACAATTGCCAATAAAATACTATGCTTAAATTTAACTTTACAATTAACACAAACATTAGGCAATAGGCATATAAAATAGGTTACAAATGTGCAATGCGAACCGAAAATGATGCTTTGCCAATTTGAATGAAGCGACTCTAACTAACATTTATGCTAAAGACTGATTCCTCTGGCCGCTTTGCAGATTCGTTCTGCGAAAATGTTTCAAGCCATTTCACAATATTCCTTTTTCTTAAGGCGGCAGCTGCCTCAACGCGATGCTTGTGTATTTGAGCTAAAGAAACACTTAAAGTAACGCCGGATCGATCCACCGATCCGAGGCGCGATTTAAAGACTGACCCTCAATTAGCATTACAGCGCCTAAATAACTAATACATAGTTTCTTTATATGTTTATGTTTTGTTTTGTTTCATTTTCATTCGTACATGACAAACCTAACAGCCAGTTTTGCGAAAATATTTAAATATTTTGTATACTCCTTTTGCATTTATTGTTTGTTTGCTTTATAATTTCATTTAATTCATATTATGCGTGTATTGTGTGTGGGTGTTTGTGTGTGTGCGGATGTATTGTGTTGTTTGGTGTAGTGTAGTGTAGTATGTGTAGTGTTGTGTGCGATTGTAAAATAGACGCTCAGAGATCGCTTTATCTTGGGTTCAACATAGTTTTTAAATAGACGAGTCGCAATGCTGTATATGCTGTTAATGCTGGCTAAAAACCATTCACTCTTCATTCATCATAATCGTTTATATTCTCAACATCTACTTCAAAATCCAGGTCATCCGATTCCGGATCCGACCCGGAACCGGTGACGGAGCCCGAACCACCAGCATCCCGATGCCTAACATATCCCCCCATAAACGCCCCAGCATCATCTCTAGATTCCTCCTCGTAAAACTCGCCATCGTCCTCGTCATCATCCTCCTCGTCTTCGCTCGACGATTGTAGATGTAACTCACGCAGCTGCCGTTGCACAAAATGTTAATGTTCCATCAGGGCCGCTATAGCAACAGCATCAAGCGCAAAAGAAAATCAGAAAACAAAACGAATCCGTTATGCATAATTCAAGAGATCAATGAGGTGAAAGTTTCTTTTCTTACGTGACGGTGTGCGTCCGGTCTTGTTCTCGTTGGGTGTGAAATTTAGAAAGTCCCAAATCAAAATTGTATCATCGTGCGAGCTGCTTACAATCTGGAACTCATCGAATTGCAAACGAAAAACGCGACCAGTATGTTCCTAAAAGGGTTTACCACAAGGATTAGACAAAAGGGGAAATGACCAAGTAGGTGACTCACCACAAGTGTGTTCAGACAAAGAGTATTGGAGGCTGCTCTCGGATCCAAGGCGGCCACCAAATCCCAGACCTTGATCTTGCCATCGTAGGCGCCGCTGACGATTCGCTTCGTGTCGAAACGGATGCAGCGAACCAATTCCTCATGTCCCTCCAGGACTCGTAAACAGGCACCGCACTCAATGTCCCAAAGTCTGAAAACAAGCAAAACAGCAATCTTAAGTTAATGCCGATTGGGTTAGAAATTATAAAAAGTAATAATTTGTAAGCATTTACAACCCTTATATTTAAATGATATTGCATTCACTAATGTAAAATAAGGAAACAAACTTTATATCGAAGATATTGGAAGTCAATGTCAATCGGTTTTTACTGCTGCTACTACTAATCTAAACATCACTTATCATTTATCACTTATCTGGTTAAATGCACACCCATTACCTTATGGAATTGTCTGAGCTGCCACTGACCACCAGGCGATCTCTGTACTGCAGGCAGGCAATGCCACGTTTGTGGCCATTCAAGGTGCGCACGAATTCACAGCTCGAGGTGGACCACACCTTTATGGTGCGATCTCCGCTGGCGGACACAATGTACTTCTCATCGAAGTCCACCACATTGACGGCAGCTCGGTGGCCGACGAGAACGCGGCGCAGCGTGATTTCGCTGGGCGAGGTCATGTCCCAGACGGCGATGGAGCGATCCTTGGAGCAGGTCACCATCATGCCGTTGTTAAAGCGCAAGTGCAGCACCGCCTCGCAGTGGTGGATGAGTGTGTTGACCATCTCGCCGGTGTTGACATCCCACACGCGGACTGTGGAATCGCTGGAGCCACTGATGATCACCTTGTCGTCGTACTGCAGGCACAGCACCGATCCAGTGTGGCCAATGAGGGTCTGCAGAGCAAATGAGAAATAAATAAGTAAGCAAATCTACATTATCTTGTGCTAGAATCTAAAACATTTATTTGTTTTAAATTAGTTTTACTAACATTAAGGCTTACTTTTATGTTGTGTTTTTTTATCTTAAACCGGCACCTACCTTAACGCACTGCAAATCCGTGCGATCCCAGATCTTGATGGTGTTGTCCCTTAGCCCGGAAACAATCTTGCCATCATCGTACTGCAAGCAATAGACACCCTTCGAATTCTCGGACCGACAATTAATGCGCCGCAGCATGTGGCGACCAGTCCGCCAGTTATTCTCTATGCTGTCAATGTCCTGAAACCATAAAATGTAAGATTAAGTTGACTGATTGCACATATCAGCACAATTCGATGACAACTCACATTCATTATCTTGGGGAACAACTCGCGATGGAATGAGTGTGGCCGCTGGGTCTGGCCCGGTCTTGGCTTAAAGAGGTACTGCATCCAATTACGCCGCTCGGCCAATCCGCGCCACAAAGAATCTGTGCGCACCTTGCGTTCGATGAGCTTCTTCCAGAGCATGCCCTCGGAGATGACGCGTAGCCATTCCTTGCAGACCAGCTCGGCCGATTTGAGCGATTCGGCATCCAAGTACGACAAAATGTTCTCTGCGATGTGATCCAGACCCTTGACTGCAGGTGATAGCAGATAATATCATTTAATAAGTGTAAATCCCATGAAGCTGTGAAGAGATTAGTTCGTGACTTAGCATCTCTATACACAAGTTTATGACTTAAACAGCTATTTATAGTTGACACCCAGTTATCTCTCGTACGACCCATGGCAAATTTTCCATCAGATATGATGTGGAGCAACCGTAGCTGCTACTGCTCTTGTCAGACACCAACGCAACCCAACCCAACCCAATCAAATTCAATGCAATCCAACTCCGTCAACAGACTTTAACTGCGAGACGAACAAGAGGCAAAATGATGCACCTAACGGCATTTAAATGCACTTAGCCCAGTAAGTGGGAGTGGGAGTGACTGTGGAAGAGGCGCAACCAATAGACCGTCATATTTACATGTGTCATAGCAAGGAGTGGTTGGGTTTGGGTGCCTTCACCGGGTGAGGTGTGGGTGGCGATATCTACATCCACAGGCACGTCTCCATCTGCATTGACAACCCGACTGAATGGGCCAAGTCATAGTCTGAAGTGCATGCGAGTATTCACTGCTCGCTGTTCGCAGCTTTTGCCAAACACAATTAAAAATGTGCATAACTTGCAGTGGCAGGCAGGCGCAGGCTGTTTGGCGGGCGGCATCTATTTGGCTCAAGTTGTTTGCCGTCGCCGGCAACTAACGGTTGTAAGAGTGTCTATCGGTCTGTGAATCCGTCCCTCCGTCCGTCGTTGTGTCGGTCTGACTGTCCCCCCCGGTTAGCTGCCTTTGAAGTGCATTACAATGTAAATGGAGGAGACAATGTTGCCTACTTTCAACTCTTTTTCTTTCCTAGAACAATCAGTGATGCCAACGAATCGTTACAACACGGGAAAACAGGAAATGTTTACAAGGTAGACAAGAGTAACTCGAAAGCCATTTTCTTAGAGAATAATATGTAATAAATAAGCTTGTTTCTACTACTATTACTACTTTTTTTTTTAAATGTTTATTAGAAATTTTTATTTAACGATTTTTTGTAATAAAGTTTAAGGTTAAGGCAGTTACTAGCTCAATATTTAAGATATAATATACATGCCAATTCAGTAGTAGGTATATTATCTAGAAAAAAGACATACAGGCATAGCTTAC